CAAGGAGGGGTCTCTATGAGTCGGGGCCGACTCGACTGCACATAACAACAACAACACAATTCAAATTATAGACCTTTTAAATTAAATTCATACAATGTACTTGTGAATAACAAAACATGCTCAGGTTAAAAACATTCCTTTAAAATATAATGTACATTAGTGGTAATTTACTTATTTCCAAAACATTATTACATTAAATTCTTCTAGTCTATTGTGAATCATTTTTCTTTCTGTCAGTACTCTGTCCAGAATGTTTTTTTAAAAACACACTGTTAGAAATTTATTTCTGGTGGTTCTCATAGTATTTCAAAATATAAGACTTTCCAGGAAGTTTCTAATCCAGTTGAGGATTTCCAGTTCACTGATGGCTTTGTACATTCCTTTATTTCCAATCTGCAAATAAAGTACAAATACAAATGGAGAAATTTTTCATATTCTAAAACAATGTAATATTTTTTTGTATTTATTTTATTAGAATACTTGCCCTATAAAATGTTCTTTTTATCCTGGTGATGGATTTTATTTCTCTCGCAGGTGAAGGACAGGAAATCTAAGAAATCGACAGTAAAAATTATTTTTTTGAATTGTTTTTGAAATGGCACTAGTAATACTCACCGTTCCATCCAGTCAACAAGCATGTATTGAGCATGTTCTACTTACTGGACTCTGGGTACGTGCTGGCAAATAATGATACATGATCTCTGTCTTCACGGAGCTTACAGCCTTATTGGAGTTGTTGGGGGGATGCAAATGGTCAATAAAGAAACAACAAAAAATAAAAACTGACAAATTATGATGAAGTTATGTTTGTAATGCACAAGACTCTCTGACTTTACACGGGCAACCTACTTCCAATGGGGTGGCAGGGAGAGCGCCTTTGAAGAACACCATTTAAAATGAGACCTCAAAAATGAGGAGACCCTATATGAGGAAGTGAAGAGAGAATGAAGAAGGATGCATAGGGGAGGGCAATTATGGCAGAGGGAAAAGTGGCAAAGGTCCTGAAACGGGAAAGAGTTCAGTACTTTCCCGTCAGTGACAGTAGTGCCTAAGGCATCTGACTGCTAACCAGAAGGCTGGTGGTTCAAACCCACCAGCCATTCCTTGGAAGGAAGATTGAGCAATCTACTTCTGTAGAGATACTGCCTCAGAAACCCAAGGAGGGGTCACTATGAGTCAGAACCAACTCAATGGCAGTGAGTTTTTAGAGTGAGAAAGAGAAAGAGGTAAAAGAGGTGTAGGCCTAAGTTAGGAGCTGGTATTGTATCATAAGCATAGGGATGGATGGTGTGAAGCATGGGAATAACAAGAATAAATTCACTTTTTGAGAAATAATAGAGTGCAGTATACAACACACAGGACCAAGTGCAGGTGCAGATCATCAGGAGAATGCACCTGGAAACTTAATATTGTTGTTAAAATTAGGAGGAATGGTCTGATGTCTTGAGAAATTGGCTTGTAGCCTGGCAGGAGGAAACTGATAGTCTCTTTTATGGAGATGAATTCTCAAACCCTATCTGATCGTGGGAGTATTTGCATGGCATAATAAGCACTCGATTACTAGCCAAAACATTGACGGTTCAAACCCATGCAGAGGTACCTCAGCAGGCAGGACTGCCAATCTGCTTCCCAAAGGCCATAGCCATGAAAACCCTATGAGCAGTTCTACTCTGCACAACTGGGTCTCCAGGAGTCAGAACCAACCTGATAGCAACTAACAACAGCACCTGAGCATAGACATTACTTAGGAATCAAGCACGAAGAAATAAACATCCTCCTGGCTACCGCTATCAACCACTCAGAAAGGGATCAAAATAGGAGATTCTGGACATAGTGGGAGAACAATGTGGAACAAAACTCAAAATCATGAAAAAGACCAAGCTTACTGGTCTGATAGAGACTGGTGGAACCCCCATGACTATGGCTCCTAGACACCCTTTGGGCCTGGAATTGAACTCATTCCCATGGCTTTCAGCCAAATAATAGACAGGCATATGAGGTAAACATTTACACCAGATAGGTACACTCCTTAGAACAATCAACTATGGGAAAATAGAAGGGCAGTATTTGCACAGGGAGATAGCTCAGAGGGCAGAAATGCATGGGAAAGAAGGACACAGGGAAAAGGTAACCACAGGGAAGAACTTGGAAGAGACCTGCTACATTATAGGGATTGCAACCAATATCATAAAACAAAATGTGCATGAACTGTTGCATGGAAAATGAATTTGCTCTGTAAACTTTCACCCAAATCACAATTTAAAAAGAAAGAAAGAAAGAAACCATTATTCTCCCATAAATTTCCCATAGGATGACTTAAAGAGAAAAGAAGAAAAAAGTAAGAATGTCTAGTTTGTCTACTTCATTTTTACTCATAAAACCTTAGCATTGAAATAGACCATGAAGAGTGTATAGGCCAATTCTTCTCAATTTTCAGATAGGGAAACCAAGGACCAAGTGTTTAAATCACTCACCCAAGACTTTACAAAAGACCCTATCCTACTGATAAAATAAATAGCAAAGAGGCATCAATAAAAAGAAAGCTTAGTTAATAGTCACAACACTGAAGCAGCTAAAGGACAGCATCTATTAAAATGAATGGAGTCCCTGGGTGATACAGATGGCTACATGCTCAGCTGCTAACTGAAAGGCTGGAGATGTGGGTCCACCCAGATGTACCTCAGAAGAAAGGACTAGTGATCCACTTCTGAACAATTAGCCATTGAAAACCCTGTGGAGCACAGTTCTACTCTGACATACACAGAGTGAGATGAAATCAACTTGATAACAACTGGTTGGTTTATTAAAATGAATAATAAACATGACCCAGGTCAACCAACAGATCTCTTTAGGCCAGAACATAACGACAGCACAGAAGAGGGTGACTCAGGTTCCTTTACTCATCAAGAAAAATGAAATTGAAATTATTACACAGTTACATCCTGACCACTGTTACAGGGGCTTACTGATGATGGTGATAGTGGCATGGCTCTGCCCAAATGGGAATTCCACCTTCAGGTCAGACCCTACACAGGAAGGAAGAGACACTTCTTGTGAAAGGGACTTTCATGATTAAATACAGAAGAGTGCTGTCCCCAAGGGGCTGCTGAGACAGAATATCAAGTTAAGGTGCAGTGTGATTCACAAGCATAGCCTAGAACCTCCCTGTGATAAACCAACAAATCAAACCCATTGTTGTCACTTCATTTCCCTCAGAGAAGTAAAATTACTTCAAACCAAAACCAAACTCTTTGTTGTCAAGTCGATTTTGACTTTTAGAAACCCTATTGGACAGACTAGAACTGCTCCATAGGGTTTCCAAGGCTATACATCTTTACATGAGCAGACTGCCTCATCTTTCTCCCGTGGAGTGGCTGGTAGGTTAAACTTCTGACATTTTGGTTAGTAGCCAAGCACTTTAACCTCTGTGCCACCAGGGCTCCTAAAGTTACTTCACAGACCTGTTTTTTTTTTTTTTTCTCACTGTTATAAGGTTACTTTTTCTTTTTCTTTTTTTTCACAAGCAATAAATTGTGTTATACTAGATGACAAGTAACAGACAAAGCTCTTAATTAAATACAATAAAAAAACAATGAATTCCTTTAGGCAAACTATGTTCTTAAAATTAGTTAAGTAATCTAGTCTGCTAGGCTCTGTTCTTACAATGAAAGACTTACTCTTCTATGTGCAGACTTGAAAAACCTATTTGCATTCCATTAATCAACAAGGAGATTAAATTATTTCTCCAAGACAAATATTCCAGGTACTGGTCCTCATAAATCAGTGCCCAGGCCAATAGGAAAAGAAAAGACTCCAACCAGTGCCAACCAAGGCAACCAGTGTCAGAAAGAATTCAGTCATTCATTAAACAGACTTTCATGAAGTGCCTGCTTTGTGCCAGGCCCTCTACTGAGCACTGAAGATATAATGATGAGCAAAACAGTCATTAAACAATATAGCTGTAAAGAGGAAAATTAGCAACACACTATACCAAAATTAGAGGGTAAAACTGCAGCATTTCCAGGAGCTCTCTTCTTTATCCCAATTCCCCTTCTAGGGAAGCTAAAATACTGAGAAGAATGTTAGGTGAAAGTAATAATAGTCAACATTTATTCTGTTAGTATTACGTACCAGGCATTAATGTAAAGACTTTAATGATATTAGCTCCGTTAGACCTCACCACAACCTTATGAAGTAGGCATATGAAGTAAGCACTATTAATATCCTAATTTCACAGATGACGAGACTGAGGCATAGAGGCAACTATGCTCACAGAGTAAGTGAAAGAACTGGCATCTGAACCCAAGCATTCTGGCTCCAGTGTTTATACTTATAGCCACTTTGTTATACTGGGAGTCCCTGAGTGACCCAGTTAACACACTCAGCAGCTAACAAAAGATTGGAGGTTCAAGTCCACACAGAAGCTCCCTGAAAGAAAGTCTGCAGTTAAGCATAGTGGCAGGATACAAGATCAACGTACAAAAATCAGTTGGACTCCTCTCCACCACAAAGAGGACTCTGAAATGAAATAAGGAAATCAATACCATTTACAATTATCAGCCCCATGACCCCTGCCATGCCTGAGGCCATCATTGCAGTCCCTGTGCCAATCCATCTTGTTGAGGGCTTTCCCCTTTTTTGTGGACCATCCACTTTTCCAAGCATGATATCCTTCTCCAGGGAATGGCTCCTTCTGACAACATGACAAAAATAGGTGAGATGAAGTCTGGCCATTCTTGCTTCCAAAGAGCATTCTGGCTGCACTTCTTCCAGGACAGATTTGTTAGTTCTTTTAGCAGTCCATGATACATTCAGTACTCTTCATCAACACCACAACTCAAAAGCGTCAACTCTTCTTCGGTCTTCCTTGTTCATTGTCCAGCTCTCACATACTTATGAGGCAATTGAAAATACCATAGATCAGGTCAGGTGCTCCTTAGTCTTCAAGAAGACATCTTTGCTCTGCAGCACTTTAAAGAGGTCTTTTGCAGAAGATTTGCCTAATATAATACGTCATCTGATGTCTTGATTGCTACTTCCATTGGTGTTGATTGTAGAACCAAGGAATACGAAGTCTTTGACAACTTCAATCTTTTCTCCATTTATCATGTGCTGTTCATTGGTCTAGCTGTGAAGATTTTTGTTTTCTTTATATTGAGGTGTTAGAGAGATGCAAATCAAAACAACCATGAGATACCATCTCACTCCAGCATTAATATCAAAGTTCAACAAGACAGAAAATAACAAATGCTGGCAAGGATGTGGAGAGATTGAGACTCTCATATATGACTAGGGGGGCTGTAAAATTATACAACTACTGTGGAAATCAGTAAGGCAATTCCTTAAAAAGTTGGAAATAGAAATACCATTTGACCCAGGAATCCCATTACTAAGTATAGAGCCTAAAGAAGTGAGAGCCTGGGCACAAATAGATATATGCACACCCATGTTCGTCACAGCACTATTCACAATGGCAAAGAGATGGAAACAACCTAAGTGCCCATCAGCCAAGGAATGGATAAACAAACTGTGGCACATACATGGAATAGA